TATGTTGCCCAGGCTGGTCTCAAACTCTAGAACCTTCCATCTCAGACTCTTGAGTGGCTGGAATAGCCACCATGCCCAGCCTAAAATCAAGACATATTAGCAAAAGAGTTCACAAGTTTTCTGTTTCTCTGTTGTGCTGAAAGCAATTCTATCATGACACATCCAGTATCTTCTCCTTCTGAACTCAAGGTGTTTTTGATCTTGAGTCATGATTTGCATGGCGTGTATAACCTCAAAGCAATATGGCAAATGTTTTATACCTTCTCTATCTCTAATGTATAACCACATTATCAAACTGCATTGCTCACCATTTATCAACTCCCATCCTGCCCTGACACATCTCTGGCTTCTCATCTGAATTGGAACCAATACATAGACCTAATGCATTGAAATCGTTGGCACCTGACTCCCAATCTTTAAACTCCCAGCTTTGCCATAATTCAGGATACTTTTATTTATTTTATTTTTGAGACAGAGTTTTACTCTGTCACCCAGGCTGGAGTGCAGTGGTGCAATCTCGGCTCACTGCAACTTCTACCTCCCTGATTCAAGTGATTCTCCTGCCTCAGCCTCCCTGAGTAGCTGGGATTACAGGTGTGCACCACCACACCAGGCTAATTTTTGTATTTTTATTATTTATTTATTTATTTATTTATTTATTTTGAGACGGAGTTTCGCTCTTGTTACCCAGGCTGGAGTGCAATGGCGCGATCTCGGCTCACCGCAACCTCCGCCTCCTGGGTTCAAGGCAATTCTCCTGCCTCAGCTTTTGTATTTTTAGTAGAGACGGGGTTTCACCATGATGACCAGGATGGTCTTCGATCTCTCGACCTCGTGATCCACCCACCTCAGCCTCACAAAGTGCCGGGATTACAGGCTTGAGCCACCACGCCCGGCCTGTATTTTTAGTAGAGACGGGGTTTCACCATGTTAGGCCGGCTGGTTTCGAACTCCTGCCCTCAAGTGATTAGCCCACTTCCAAAAGCGCTGGGATTACAGGCATGAGCCACTGCGCCGGCCCCAACTTCTTAGCCCTTTCGGCTTTACCGCATCGCCTCTCCTAATTCGTAGAGACCCCCAAGCCGTCTACTCTTCAACTATGTCGTTATTGATAACCTCATTTATTTAGGTGACCTGACATGCCATGGTCCATCTCTTCAATCATGTATTTTCCAAAACCTCGAATCCACTTGCCCTAGAAAATTCTAACATCTGTCTCTCCTGCCTACATAATTCTGCCCCCACGTGGTGATATGGGAATTTGAGGTCACTAAAAATTTGAGGTCACCTACTCTAAACGGGTCTTCAACACTACAGGAAATTTCCAATGGGCAAAGATCTTTTCACAGTTTCTCCAGGATTTTGAATTCACACCGTCTCCACTTCCCTCTTTATTTATTATCTATTTCTTTATTGAGACGGAGTTTCGCTCTTATTACGCAGGCTGGAGTGCAATGGTGCAATCTCGGCTCACTGCAACCTCCGCCTCCCGTGTCCAAGCGATTCTCCTGCCTCAGCCTCCCGAGTAGCTGGGATTGCAGGCACCCGCCCCGACGCACGGCTAATTTTTGTATTTTTAGTAGCGACGGGGTTTCACCATCTTTTTCAGGCTGGTCTCAAACTCCTGACCTCAGGTGATCCACCCACCTCAGCCTCTCAGAGTACTGGGATTAGAGGCACGAGCCACCGCACCTGGCTTCAACTTCCCCATTTAATAACAAATGATTTTACAACTTATCGCAGAGAGAAATAGTAACAACAATTAGAAAGATTTCTCTGTTTTCTCTTATCCTAGATTCGAGAGATTTCTCACCTTCTTCACACTAGCGCAAAACAGGCCAACAACAACGTCACAGTTTCTTTCTTCTTTCACTCTGCAACCATGAGATAGCTGCCTTCTTATTTAAAGCCAGTATCTCTTTCTTTTCTACGCCAGGATTTCTCATCACTGGCGCGACTGTCATTCAGGGTCTGCTATTTCTTTGTCAGAGGGAGTAGGGCATTCTATATTCTAACCACTAGATGGCAGTAGTATCCCGGGTAGTGGTAAAAACAAAAATGTCTCGGGACATTGTCAGATACCCCCAGGTGGCACAATTGCTCCTGTTAAGAATCAAAACGGCCGAGGCGAGTGATCACTTAAGGTCAGGCGTTTGAGATTAGCCTGATCAACATGGTGATATCCCGTCTATACTAAAATTACAAAACTGGCCAGGTGTAGTGGCTAATTAGAGGCCTCGTGCCTGTAATTCCAGCTACTCGTGAGGCCGAGACAGGAGAATTGCTTGAACCTGGCAGTTAAGCAATTCTTGGAGGGAGGCGGAGGTTGCTGTGAACCGATATATCGCACCATCGCGCTCCACCCTGTCCCCAACATTCATCTCCTAACTTTTTGATAATAGCTCTCCTGAAGGATGCGAGGTGATATCTCATAGTAGTTTTAATTTGCATTTCCCTGATGATTAGTGATGAAGAGCACCTTTTCCTATACCTGCTGGCCATTTTTATGCTTTCTTTGGAGAAACGTCTGTTCAGACCCTTTACCCATTTTAAAATCAAGATTATTTGGCCCGGCGCGGTGGCTCAAGCCTGTAATCCCAGCACTTTGGGAGGCCGAGGCGGGTGAATCACGAGGTCAACAGATCGAGACCATTCTGGTCAACGTGGTAAAACCCTGTCTCTACTAAAAATACAAAAAATTAGCTGGACATGGTGGCTGCGTGCCTGTCAATCCCAGCTACTCAGGAAGGCTGAGGCAGGAAGAATTGCTTGAACCCAGGAGGCGGAGGTTGCGGTGAGCTGAGATCGCGCCATTGCACTCCAGCCTGGGTAACAACAGCGAAACTCCGTCTCAAAAAAAAAATTAATTAATTTAAAAATAATTTTTAAAATCAGTTTTTTTTTCTGCTATTGACTTGAAAGAATTCTTTATAAATTTTGGATATTAACCCCTTTTCAGATATATGGTTTGCAAATATTTTTTCCCAGTCCTATGGAATGCCAATTCATTCTTTTGTTTCCTTTAATATGAAGAAGCTTTTTAATTTGATGTTGTCCCATTTATTCACTAATTTTTGCTTTTGTAATCTAATCTTTTGGTGTAATATATATAAAATAATCTTTGCTAAGACCAAAATTGAGGAACTTTCCCCTAGTGTTATCTTCTAGGAGTTTTATGGGTTCAGGTCTTACATTTAGGTCTTTTATCCATTTTGAGTTGATTTTTGTGTATAAGACAAGAGTCAAATTTCATTCTTTTGTATGTGGAAATTTAGTTTTCCCAGCAGCATTTATGAAAGAGGCTTTTTCCTATTTTGTCCTCTTGTCATGTCAATATTAACATCATATACTGTTTAATATTATATCGTATTAAATATTATATGTGATTAACATTTATATTATTATATGTTGTGTATATAATAGATATTCCCATTATATGTAATATATTATATACAGTGTAACATATTATATGTAATATGTGTATGTCATATACAATATGACATACATATTATGTACTATTACATATGTAATATATGTATGTCATATACAATATGACATACATATTATGTACTATTACATATGTACTATATATGTTTATATGTTATATGTTATGGAGTATATATTATATATTATGAAATATATTATGTAATATGAAATATAGATTATATATATTATGTAAGCATATTTTTTATATCCATATATATTCCATACATACATAAAATATATGTATGGAATATATATGGATATAAAATATATAAGAAGGAAATTTGAGGTTTTGGAAAATATATTGTTGAGGGAATGGACCGTGGCATATATACCTGCCCTGGATAATTCTAACCATCTGTTTCTCCTGCCTACATAATTCTGCCCCAACTGGTTACATGGAAAGCGCTGGTTTCCTAAAGTGATGGGATTACAGGTGGGAGCCACTGTGCCCAGCCTGATTCTGGAATTTTGTATATGCAGACTCCTCCTGTTAAAATAATATATATAATATGTAATATATATTCCGTAACATATGTAACATACATATATTTTGTACTATATATTACATATTATATATTATGTTGGCATATATTATATAATGTACATTATCAATACATAGTTATAATATAATATGATATAATATATATTCCATCGTATATAACATAACATGTAATATGTAATTGAATATTGTTCAGCCTTAAAATAGAAAGAGATCCTGGCATTTACCACGATATGGGTGGACCTGGAGGACATTATGCTAAATGAAATAAGCCAAACACAAAAAGAAAAATATTGCATGATGTTACTTACATGAGAATTTTTTTTTAATTGAAAGAGAGCTCAAATGCACGGAAATAAAGAACGAGACCACCATTATCACAGGCATGAGGGTTGGGGAAGGAAATGGGGAGATGTGGGTCAAAAAATACAACATAGCAGATAGGTTTATGAACACCACACAGGTGATAGCAATGTTATGCCCTTCCTAAGGTGTCATTCAGAGGCTCTCCGTCTGATTCACTGGTGATATTGATTTGATCACCTGGTCCAGATATTGTCCAGTTTCTTCGCTGCACAGTTTCTATGACCTTTTTCTCCATTCCAACATATGAGCAGTTGATAGAGAGACATTTAAGACAATACAAATATTCTGCTTGTCATACAAATGTCCCTTAGTTAGGTCATGTAGATAACAATTCTTGCCTGGTTCAATCTTTACCACTATGATGGCTACAAAATGCTGTGGGTTGTGACTGAAATTTTGAGTTTTGAGTGTACAGATAGTACTTAAAGAGATGAGATTCGCTGCTAAATCAAAGTGAATGATTATAGAACGAGTAGAAGGCTGAGGACGGAGTCCTGGGACACTCGAACAAGCAGAAATTGAAGAAATATGCTGGACCGTCAGATTTCACCTGGTCACGGACGCCATGCCAATCCAAGCTTCAAAACTACACTTCCCAGCATCCTCTTCGTCTCTCCCTCCTTATTAGACGCAGCCAATGAAGTCCCGCGAGATTTGGAAGGCGGCAGTGAAGCGGAAGCCATTACTCTCTGGAGCCGATTGCCCCGAGACACATGGGCCAAGGAGGCTTCCGCGGGGATTTCTTTCGACCTGTTGGGGACCCCTCGCTTCCCCACGCCAGACAGGACCTCCCGTATGAACTTCTCTTCGCTTCGGCAGCAGCTTCCGTCACCTCCGCTCCCCGATCCTACTCCCAGTCGTGTAAGCCCTGCTTTCCTTAACCCTTTTCCCCCCCAGTTCCTGGGGTCACAGGAGGCCTGTTTGGCGGAGAGGATTAAGGGGGCACAAGGGTCGGGGACTAAGGAGCCAGGCAGCCAGATGAGGGGTGCATTTTAGATCTCGCGATCAACGATATGAAACGCTGGGGACGGGAAGGATGAAATTGGACCACTGCAGTTAGTGATGAGCGAGGCATTGGTCACCTGATCCTGAAAAGCCCTGAGTCTCTGTAGGTGGGGGCGGAAAAGCCGGGCTGAAGTGAGTTCAAGAGTTTGGGAGCAGTTCAGGAGATTGGGGGTCGTCAGGATTTGGACATAGCGAGGAGTAACCACCTTTCTGCGCTGTCGTCAATTTTATCTTACGTGAATGTCAGCACACTGGTGTTCTTTTTAGCATTTACCTTGAGTAGCTTTTGTACTTGGTAAGTCCTGGTTGCACTTTTTTATTTATTTTAATTTTAATGGACTCTTGGAAATAGCCTATACGTAGATTTACTACTCAGTTCAACATTTTGTTAATTAACTTGAGAGTTAGTCCAGTCATACTTGAATTTTACCGTGTTATTTTGTGCTGTGTCCTTTACTATGAAAATATGTTAACACTGGAAAATAGGACATACATGCAAAACAACAGTATGATTACACACACACAAACATACACACACACGGTTAAAAGGACAACCGTAAAGTGAATCTACAAACCAAGCCAAGAAAGAGATTATTAAATCTCAGGAAGCTGTGTGCCTTTTCTAAACTGCATCCTCCTCTCCCACCAATATTTGCTCTGGATTTGACTGCTTATACATCTTTTCCAGAAAATAAATTTCCTGATTTTGGTAGTTACTAGTAGATGAACTCAGGCTCTGCAGTATTTTTGGAAACAATCTTTCCATATTGATACCTTTGTAATTTAGAGATTTCTAAATATCTTGTAGATGAAGTACTTACACCTAGCCGTTCTTTTTCAGGAATGTCATGGCTTAAATTCTAGAGTTAGTTCACCAAGTTCCACATAGTGGGCTTCAGTTTTCAAGCTGTGGTGAATCTATATTTCAACTTTGAGAATATTGGTGTTTTTATGCCGTTGAGTTGCTGTTGATTTACATCATTTATTTACATCTTCTTTGATGCCTTTCAATAAAGTTTTGTTTGTTTTTGTGGTTGTTTTTTGAGACAGTCTCACTCTTGTAGCCCAGACTGGAGTGCAGTGACAGCCTTGGCTCACTGCAACCTCTGTCTTCTGGGTTCAGGCAATTCTCCTGCCTCAGCCTCATGCTTAGCTGGGATTACAGGTGCCCACCACCACGCCCAGCTAATTTTTGCATTTTTGGTAGAAACAGGGTTTCAACATGATCGCCAGGCTGGTCTCGATCTCCTGACCTCAGGTGATCCACCTGCCTCGCCCTCCCAAAGTGCTACGATTACAGGGGTGAGCCACTATGTCTGGCTCAATAAAGTTTTATAAGTACCTTGAAAAAGGATTTAAGTTGTTATTGTTATATTTATTCTTAGGATCTTTGTTTTTTGGTGCTCAGAAAAGTCTAACTTTTATGTAGTTTTTTGGAAGTTCTTCCTAGACAAGAAAATGTACACAGTTCAAAAGGAAATTAAATATTTTATACAGAAGATAAGTTGTTTATATTCTTTCTTTGCTGAACTGGCTGGGTACTTCCATTGTCGTTGACTGGAGTTTGGATGGCACACTCTAGGCAGACCTGGTTTTTTTTCCTGATCTTTAAGGGAATTGTCATTTGTGTTTGCCAAAGACTTTTCTAAGATAGTTTTTATTAAGCCAAGAAAGCTTCCCTCTTTTCCTGCTTGAGTTTTTCTTATGAATTGCTGCAGGCTTTTAACAAGTGATTTTTTTTTTTTTTTCTCACCATATACTTTTGTATCTGTTTGTTGATACATTTTAAGTACTTTAAATGATGGCACTTGGTACTGCTGTGTAATGAATGAATGGGTGAATAATACAATTTTGTTTTTTATCCTTTAGTGTGGTAAATTAAACCAGTTGATTTTCTGTTGTTACATTAAATTTGTATTGGTAACTAATTTGGAAAGGACATGTTACTATTTGTTATTTTTGGCTTCAGTTTGCTAATATTTTGTTTGGTGTTTTTGGATCTATGCTTGAGTGAAATTTTCCTTTTCTATTTCAGATTTATGCCAGCCTCATAAAATGGGATGAGAAGTGTTCTCTTTTCTAAACTCTGGAATGTTTTGCATAAGAATAGAATCATTTGTACCTTAGAACGGGAGTGGTACCTGCAAAAACCATTTGGGTCTGGAGTTTTCTTTGTGGAAAGTTTTAAAGCTATTGTTTCTGTTCTTTTAAGGGTTGTGGGGCATCCAGGTTTTTTGTGTTATGATGAGTAAAATTTCTTTAGGAACTTATTCCATCTGAGGTTGAAATTGTATAGTCAAAGTTGTTCATAATATATTTTTAATGCTTGCTACATTTGTAATGTTATCCACTTTTTTATTTGTAATAATTATATGTTGCTTTTTACAAAAATAAATTCCATCCGAATGTTGTCAGTTTCCTTCTTAAAGAACTTCTGGCTTGATTGAACCATTTTATGATATATATATATATGTTTTCTATTTTGTAACTTTCTGATTGCTATCATTTTCTTCCTTCTTGGGATGTTTCTTTCCAGTTTCTTATGTTGAATGCCTGTCACATCCCAAAGAATTGCAGTATCATACTTCATTGTATCTTAATTCTAAATATCAAATATGGCTTCTTTGGCATGCAGATTTAGAATTTTTTTTTTCTAATTTTCATTTCTGTGACTTTTTTCCTTCTTATCTTTTGGTCATTGTTTGCTAACTGCATTGCTCTGTGGTCAAGCATTTTCTGAGACAAACATGGCTTCATGTGTGGTTGAAATTTATAGTTAGGAAATGCTATTTCATCATGTTCAATCTGCATGTAGTTAGTGAATTGCCTGCTTGAACTGTATTTGTGAGAGCTCTGGTGGTGGTTTCATCCATTTCTCCTTAGCGTTCTATCCTTTATTTTTTATTTTTTATGTTTTCATTTTTTTTGGAGGCTATGTTTTACACACACACACACACACACACACACACACACACACCTCTTTCCTGGTTTATAACTTCATTATGTAATACTTAGTTTCTCTCTATGAGCCTTTTTGCCTTGATCTATTCTGATACTAACCGGCTTTCTTTTTTTTCACTTGCCTTATATATTCTTTTAGTTCCATTCTTACTGCATTCTTATATTTTAGATGTCTCTTGTACATAGCATATAATTGGATTAATCTATTCTGTGAATATTCGTATTTTAGTTAAAGCATTTATTCTATTAATATCTTCTGTATTAATATATTTGAATGTTACATTTGTCTTTTATTGTTTCTTTTCTCTGGCTTCTTTTGCATATTTTTGTCACTCTCCTTTATTTTCTGTACATTTAGAATTTATTTACTCTATTATTCCAGTGGTTGTTCTGAACAGTTCTTACCCATGCTTGCTCATTAAATCTAGATTTGGATATATGTTACTCTTCTGATTTACATGGTTTTCTCATATGCATTTTTGTTCTTTTTTTATTGATACATCATAGTTGCACATATTTAGTTCTTTTTTTAAACCTCAAGAAATTACTACTGTTATTATATCCCATCATTTCTTATTTCATTATACTCACACATTGCCACTTTGAGCAGTTTGATTCTTACACTCTTTGCTTTGGTTCTTTGATTACTTCTTTCTCCCTGAAATATGTCTTTTATGATGTCTTTTTTCTGTGGGTGGCAAGCCCAAAGATACTGTTTTTCCTCTTTCTCAGTGGACATTTTTAGTAGTTATAGGATTTTATATTTTATTTCAGAACTATGAAGATGTCCCATTTTCTTCTGGCTTCCACTGTTGCTAATGAGGAATCAGCTGTCAGTCTAATGTTTGTTTCTTTCCTTTTTTTTTTTTTTTTTTTTTTTTTTTTTTGAGACAGAATCTCCCCCTTGTTGCCCAGGCTGGAGTGTGCAATGACATTATTGGCTCACTGCAATCTCTGCCTCACCTGGGTTCCAGCAATTCTGCCTCAGCCTCCCAAGTGGCTGGGATTACAGGCATATACCACCACACCCGGCTAATTTTTGTATTTTTAGTAGAGACAGGTTTCACTATGTTGGCCAGGTAGTGGTTCTTGGGGGGTGGTCTCCTAACCAGCAGCATCAGTATCACCTGGAAACTTGTTAAAAATACATACTCTTTGACCCCACACCTCAGATCTTCTGAATTAGAAACCTAGGGATGGGGCCTAGAAATGTGTTTTTTGTTCTGTTTTGTTTTGAGATGGGGTCTCACTATGTTGCCCAGGCTGGTCTCAAACTCAAACATGCAAGTGATCCACTTGCCTTGGCCTCCCAGCATGCTGGGATTACAGGTGAGAGCCACCATCCCTAGGCTTGGTTTGTTTCTTACAGTGTGTTTTAACAAGACCTCCAGGTGACGCTCATGTAACTTCAAGTTTGAGAACTATTGCTTAAAAGATAACCTGTCTTTTTCCTCTGGCTGCTGTTAAGATATTCTTTTTACCATTGGTAATTCTCTGGTTCATTGTGCCTAAGATTTCTTTTTATCTGTTTATATTTTCCTTCCAAAATGAAAAATCTACAGCCACTATATTTTACAGTAATTGCCTGGGCTCCTTCTCTGTCATCGGTAACTGCAGTTAGAAATGGTTCATTTCCTTATCTTCTGTCCCTATGTGATTCTTAGCTGTATTTCTATGTTCCTCAACTCTTTTCCATTTATTGTTAAAACTAGCTTTTAAACTTCAGCCTGCATAAAAATTTCATGTAGACTTTGTTAAAGTACTGATTCAGCAGCCCACCCCAAAGATAGTTACTTAATTTAATTGAGATAATGATCTGGGTGTCAGAATTACCTAAAGTGCTCCAGGGGACGTTTATGCAGCAGACAATATTTAAGAAACAAATTTTTAGTAAC